TTTTTTTTTTTTTTTTTTACAGGAAAATATTTTTATGAGATTGAAATCAACTTTGATATAAAAGGTCTGATAATTTCCTAGAGAACTATTTTAGGACTCCCCCTTATTCCACCCTTACTATCATATGTATCACATGTCATGTGGCCGCAGCGCCCGGCCCCATTGCTGTGGTTCGACAGGCTCATTGGACTTTTTAAGGTCATAAGTTGCGCCTCACAGTCGTCTTCGACTATTTCACAGTTTTATACAGGGTGTCCCACGAATCATGACAGTTGGTGAATAGTTTAGAATGTCTTCTTCCATAATATGTTAAGTTTTTCAATACCAAAGACAATAATAAAAATATTATATAGGAGTCATATTATAGTAAAATAAACTTCAAAGTGAAATATATTTGAGAAAAAGATTTTTTAAATGAAAAAAACTGCAAACAGCCTTTGATATCTAATACAGTGTATGGAAGACGACATTCAAAACTACAACTGTCATGTTTCGTGGGACACCCTGTAGGTTCCACTTTAATTTTGCTAAAAAGTTATAATTTTTTTTTCAAACGTTCGTTCATAATAATTAAGGCGATTAGAAACATAAAAATGCAGAACTGCAACGTAATTGGACAATAAAAACCCGTTTCCATTGATAAAAAATTAAGTGGATAGTTTATGTAGATTTAAATACAAAATTTTAATAAATACATTTTTAGTTTAAACCAAAAACAAACTAAGTTGAGTTCTCATGGTTTAAAAGTAAATTCAAGTAGATATCCTTCGGATCTTAGAAAAATGTTAGTTAAGAAACAAATGAAATATTTTGATGTCCCATTGGAACATGAATGGAAAGTTCCGGTTTTACAAGAACTTTTAAATACAAGAATGAATAATTTATATGTTGAAGGATTCGATGATTACGTAATAACTGAAATGATAAATATGTTATGTAGTGAGTAAAAATCAATTTTTTCTATTTGTGCATAATTTTGCATATTTTCTCTCTTTTCTTTTGGAAACCTGTATTTTCAAAAAGAATTTATTTAAATAAATTTAAACTACACCATTTATATATGTATTTATATCTTTGTGTGTGAATAAATCTTTATAATAATAAGTCTTTTGATAAATTCTTTGTTAAAGTATTGCAGAAAAAAATATCTTCTGAATTTCTACAATGTTTTCATTGCTAATAAATCCATATTGTTTATGTTTTTAGCTATCTCTATCGATATTGTTCACAGATCTTACAGTTCACTGTAAATGTTACACAATAGCTTCAACACTTTCTGAGCAGTGAACACTGAACAGTTCTAGATGTTCTAGACCAAACTGAAATATATGAATCATATGTGCATCTCTCAGTAGTCAGTTTCTCCTCTTACTAAATACTAAGCTAAGCAGTAAGCTGTCTGTACCCGGGTAAATGTGCAGACCGGTTCCATTGCGTCATCAACATCAAGCAGAGTCTAGTCTAAGCTCTGCTCAAATCTGTGACGTTTACGTCAAATTCGTATTTGGGCAGTGTTCACTTTGGTTTCAATTAGCTGTACGCAATATACTGCGTAACCTTTTACGTCATGCAGCGGCGATTATATCAATGACTTGACGACTTTTGATTTCAATTCCGATTTATAGTCTTATATATTTATAGACTTTTAAACAGACATTGATAAACAAAAACATGGATATAAAGAGAAGCTGGTCAGTTATTAAAGCATCTCGAACTTGTAAGTACTTGTAATCCAAAAAAAATGTGTCACCAATTAGATTTCAAATAAAATGTCGCCTTTATTATATTGAAATAATCGCGTCTACCACCGTATTTAAAAAGCACAACAAATCGAATTACTTTCTAGTTTCTTCAATAATCAATTCTATCTTGCATTATTCAGATATAAGATGATTTTACTGGTCGTCATCCTTAATTTGTAGATTCTTTATACTTTCTTCTCTATTCTTTATAATTTCTTCTCTTTTCCTTATAATTTCTTCTCTATTCTCTATACTTTCTTCTCTATCTATATATAAATTTGGATTGTCTGTCTGTTTGTCTGTCTGTCTGTTTGTATCCAATAAACGTCAAAACGGCTGAACCGATCGGGCCCAAATTTTTTGTGGGACATCTAGGGACCCCCAGGGAAGGTTTATGAATGATTGAAATTTTAAATATTTGTCTCCATCAAAATTCGATCTTGATTAAATTTTTTAAAATTTTGAAAATCCACGAAATTTTTTGTGAAAATCCGCGAATTATTTTTGTTTTGTTTTACGATGTACACAAAGAGAACATATGTTTACAATTAATTTAGAAGATGGGCGCGAAGCGCCCTCTATGGTTAGTTCTTTATACTTTCTTCTCTATTCTTTATCATTTCTTCTCTATTCCTTATAATTTCTTCTCTATTCTTTATACTTTCTTCTCTATTCTTTATAATTTCTTCTCTATTCCTTATAATTTCTTCTCTATTATACTTTCTTCTCTATATCCTTATACTTTCTTCTCTATTCCTTAACTTTCTTCTCTATTCTTTATACTTCTATATTCCTTAGCCTACTTATCAAGATCTAATAATTTTTTCTCTATTCTTTATTCTTTCCTCTCTATTCTTTATACTTTCTTCTCTATTCTTTATACTTTCCTCTCTATTCTTTATACATTCTTCTCTATTCTCTATACTTTCCTCTCTATTCTTTATACATTCCTCTCTATTCTCTATACTTTCCTCTCTATTCCTTATAATTTCTTCTCTATTATACTTTCTTCTCTATATCCTTATACTTTCTTCTCTATTCCTTAACTTTCTTCTCTATTCTTTATACTTCTATATTCCTTAGCCTACTTATCAAGATCTAATAATTTTTTCTCTATTCTTTATTCTTTCCTCTCTATTCTTTATACTTTCTTCTCTATTCTTTATACTTTCCTCTCTATTCTTTATACATTCTTCTCTATTCTCTATACTTTCCTCTCTATTCTTTATACATTCCTCTCTATTCTCTATACTTTCCTCTCTATTCCTTATAATTTCTTCTCTATCTTTTATACTTTCTTCTCTATATCCTTAACTTTCTTATCAATATCTTATACTTTCTTCTCTATTCCTTATCATTACCATTTTTATAAATTCTATTGAATATTCGTTTTACTTCGTTCACAATATTTTTATGAAAATACGTTATTTCTTTATATATTTTGATTCCTTATACATTGTTCTTTTCCTCGTGATGTATTTGCTACGAGCTTGGGAACCCAGCTTAGCCTGAAATAAAGTTTTCTTTATTAGAGTCAACCTATTTATTTAATAACTTTTAAACCAAGTTAAGAACATTCATGTAGATATACAGTTTCCCCGATCAAAATTTGAGGCAAATCGATGAAGGGTTTCCTGAGTTATGATCGGACATACAAACAAACAAACGGAGATTAATGCTTTATATATATATATATAGATTCCTCGCACCTTATTAATATTATGAGGTTTACCCGCAGGTTTAAGATATTTAACTGCTTGAGGGAAGTGTGTACTTCTTAGTGTGTTTACTGTTTACATATATTTCTGCTTGTCACGCAGGTTGGAGTTTAACAGTTTAATATCCAGGGTATCCAGAGGTACCTATAGAGTGCACTGGGACACTTTCCAAACATGGATTTATTTCTATTTTTAGGATCAGTTAACCACATATACTAAACTATATCATATCATGTTAAATTATACAGAACAAATCAAATTTAAGCAAGTGAAGTGGTTCAACTACTGGTTCAACATATTTAGTTTATAAATTTTAACTTCCTTTTGTTATTAATTTAATTTGGTCCCAGAGGAAACCAAAGTTTAAAATATAAATTTGATTCGCGGTTTAAAGCAAAAACGAATTGCCCACCAAAGAAGAATAAAAGTTATTCTAATGTTGGGAAGTAAAAATGAGGACCGATATTGACTTCTGAACCTGAACGTGTGATATATATATACAGTGATAACCAGAAAACTGTGAAATAGGAAGACGATATAAAGGCAATAATTAATTGTACTTAATGTTGTTACAAGGCAAATAGTTTTACTAGTAACTTATTAATTTATTTTTTAAGTGAAATTGGTCTGTTTACACAACACAGCACAGTTGATGCGATTTATATTCATAGACTGTTAATAGTTATAATTTGAGCCAAAAAGTCGTCTTCTTATTCCAGAGTTATATGGTTATCTCTGTATTATATGTATTATATTTATATATAATATACAAATGATGGCTCAATTGTAAAGTGTAGATATACGTATTATGTATTTATGTACGTACATGGTAATATTAAATACTTACGAAAAATCCAATATTATTATTATCAATGAGAGTAGAACTAAAGAGATGGGAACAGGGATTGTTTATCATCAATGGGAGTAGAACTAAAGAGAAGGGAACAGGGATTGTTTATCATCAATGAGAGTAGAACTAAAGAGAAGGGAACAGGGATTGTTTAATCTAAAGTGTTAGTTGTTGTAATGAGTACAATAACTATTTTTATCAGAATTAATAAACAATTAGAAAACAGGAATACTATTTTCTCAAGTAAGCATATTTGAAAATTTCCGAACCCCCATCTATACCACTCTTCTTAAATCTTATCCATGAAAATTTAATTAGACATATTACTAAATAACAGATATCTCTATGAACTAGAAGAAGGAGAAGTTTAAATTTATCCGACATAACTGCTACGACTTTGTGACCTCGTAGCTACTCTAATTTTGACTGTATGCACAAGTAAGATATAACAAAATTCTTCGCAATAGCTCTTCATTAAGACAAGATGTGACTGAACCCCTGTATCAGAGATATATTAAAGAAAAATATCAAGTAAAGAAATTTTTGTAAAATTTTCAGACTGTCATGGTTCAATAATCTCAAATCATAGTAAACTTTCTCAGTGTGTTTGTAAAGCTCCGTGTGATAACAACCTGTCACAAAGCTCCGTGGTCCATGAGATTGTAAGCTATCACGTAAAAATCTATTAGAATTTTGCCAATAACTTCTTGAAAACTAACGCTAAAATAAATAATTTCTTTTGAGTTTAAAAATGTACATGCTGTATAAGGTAACTTTAAAGTATGTGTGTGTTAGAAAGTTAAATCGAGTGCGAAGGGGTTACGACACTTCAAAGTTAATTCAGTCTTGAACAGAGATGTAACTTTTCATGGTAGTTTAGATCTTTGTGAGAATAATAATTCCATCATCATTATACAGTGGTCGGCGATTATATCAATATAATGAAGACGACTTTTATAAGTAAAGCTTTGATCTCTAGGCATTTTTTAATTTACAAGTTCACTAGTAAACAAAAAGAAGCTATTAATTGACAACTTCTCCTTGTTTAAATGTTTCAATGTTTCTGCTTTTTATATGCTTGATATAAATCAAAATTAGAAAAGAAAGTCGTCTTTATTGTATTGATATATACGACGACGACTGAAGATATTAAAAATTAACAAGTATGAGAGGACCTGCCATAAAACAATTTTTATCTTGTAATTTTTAGCTTTTCGTGACACGATTTTTGTTTTCTGCTCACACGTATATGCAGTTTGTTTTACTTTAAATATATAGTCTTATCAAAATTAAGAGTCCGTTTCACTTTATTCAAAAATTTTGAAATGTGTTTTACTTAAACCACTAAATTGGGAATCCAGCAATGCCTGAGAACAAAACTTTCTTTTTTAAAGTCAATCTAATTAAGGCAATTAAAATTTGAGTCAAATCAGTCATGCGGTTTCTGAGTTATGATCGGACATACAAACACACATAAAGACAAACAAAAACAGCTTGTTTATATAAATATTCAGAGTAAAATTGTTTCAGATTTATTGTGAAAATGAAATTCTCAGGATTGGTATTTTTTAGGTAAACGAATTTTTTCTTAAATCAAAAATTAATAAATTTATATATGTATAATGGCACTGAACACTTTCTCAATGCAAGTGTTCAGTTCCATTAATACATTAAACAAAATGATTTTTGATTTTTTAAAACAAAAGTGAACTCATTAACTACTGGAGATAAGGCTCTGTTAAATATTTATATAAAAACTCTCAGAAAATATGAAACACAATTTTTAAATTAAACATTAAAATATCAAAATAATACGAAAATTTTAATTATTTTTCCAACTTAATTGATCCCAACCGGCTCAAAGTACATTCTTTCTTTATCTATCTACCCTCTATGTTTCCTTTCAAAGAAAGCTTAATGATGCATTTTCAGTCTATTAATTTCCACCCAGCAAGAGAACCTAGAACAATGTGAGAGGGATGGTGTATTGTGTGATGGAGGAGGAGGAGGAGGAGGGGTGCTTCTTGATGAAACTCTCTACGAAGCATATGAATTTAAAAAAATGACGAGCAGAGAAGATTTTCTAATAAGAGAAAAACTCGACAAAATCGACGAAATAAAATCAGGTAAATGTTTTAACATTTTTAAATGAAAAAAAATTCCAAACTTTTTTTTAAGACTACCAATTTCCATGAAAATCTATGCATTGCTTTTGATATTTCTGTAGCGTTTCATTAAAAACAAAACACAATCTATTTTAGGTATTTATGGTAGAAACAATCATGGTACCCATGTTTTTTGGTACACACTGTTTCTATTAAACAAACATTCAAGATTAAAACATTTGAAGAATAACTGCTGCGCGAATAAAAGACGATTGCAAAGTCTTTGCTCAAGTCCAATTTACCGACACTTCTACTTAAGAGATGTCTTAACTGTCGTTATAATTGCAATTGATCCTCTAGACAATGAAGGTCATGCCAAATTCACAACGGTACCCTTTGAACCTTTTTCTGATCAATATATGCGGAAGATATCATTTTTTGGGCTTTGAAAAGTGTTTAATTCTAACAGTTTCTGATCAGAAGTGCAAAAGTCGTTAAATAGTAAAACCAATGGTAAATTGATCAAAAAAAAACAATTCGAGATGATAGATATTTCATGCATTCTTGATGAAACAAACCATTTGATGGTATCGTTGGGAATCGGACATGTCCCTCTATAAATAGAAAGTCATTACAATCTGAGTTTACAGTCCCTTTAAAGGGACTATAAAGGAAAAATGAAAGGTAAAGGCAGAAAGCTATTCACTTTAGCTCTTGTTCGCGACCCATGAAAGTTATATCTGATGGAACATCAGACAGGAACTGTCTTGATAAATTGATATAAAACTGTGTCAAATTTATACGAAAATTCATATATATACAGCAGAACTCCCACCAATAAGAGTGTGGTATACTGGTCACCTGTCTCTGTTTGTATCACATGACCAGTATACTGCACTACCATAAGTGTGAGTTCTAATGACGTCATACCGTCATACGTACTTATAAATAATATTATCAATTATATCTTTTAAAAATATAAATAAAAATTATAAATAGTAATTGGAGAAAACCTTTGGTTACAATTAGGTTTCTCTGGAATATCTTCGTTTCCAGATTAGTTGCGTATTTGCTGAATATTATCTGTTTAAAACTACCATTTCTATACAAAATTGTATAAATATAAATTTTCGTATAAATTTGACACAGTTTTATATAATTTTCTCGAGATAGGAACATCAGATATAACTTTCATGGGTCGCGATCAAGAGCTAAAGTGATTAGCTTTCAGCCTATACCCCCTTTCATTTTTCCTTTCCTTTACAGTCCCTTTAAGTAACCTTGAAATTTTATTCTATTTAATTAAATGTGTAGAAATTATTCTCTCTGGTTTACCTTAAAGACTTTTCTTGATTAAATTTAAATTTAATTTCAACAATTTACTTCCCGTCACATTATAAGCACCACCTTGTAAGCCAAGGAAAATATGGTACAGGGAATACTAAAAAATCTTTAAAGCAAAAACAAATTATCGAAGTTTTCTGAAAGATGGCCTGTTTGAAAAATTGAGATTAAAAATCTGACATAATTTTTAGATTCGTTTTTTGTTAATTCTATTTATGATTAAATTATTTTAAGAAAATCTCAAATTCTACTTTAAAAATTATGCATGTTTGTAATAATATGTGTAAAAACGTAAAGAAAGAAAACAACCTCGGAGTTCTATGTAAACGGAATATTTTCAATCGACCTATTAATGATTCAGAGAGTGACGCACACAATTTAAAACTTTGATTTTAACCCAGTTTATAGTAAAAACGATCGAGGATAATTTTTATACATCACGAGGTTTTCTGTAGCAAAGACAAGTAAGAAAATTACCTAAATAAATATGATTTCCATTTTTATAAAAGATCTACTCAAAATTAGCTGTATAACATCTGAAAATATGAATTATCAAAGTAATAAATTGGATTCAATCTTAGGTCCTTCTATCAGTTGCCAAGAAACTTAATGCATTCTCTCTGATCTATCATATATCAAGTATAACGGAAACATATTAAGTAATTGNGTTATCACGTGTTTATTTATTTGTTTAAAAACAGGGGGAGTAACTTTTGATTTTAAGCGATTCAAATCATTAACCATGAAAAACAACTAATTTTTATTTAATTTTTTACCATACAATCTCTCATTGAAGAACACTTTAAAATATTGTACTTAGGGGATCTGAGGACTGAGGACTCTTAATATTTAATCTGTAAAGGGGATCCTTAGGGGCTCTGAAGAATCCTCATATCTACACTGTTTTGAGTATCCTTAGGGGCACTGCAAAGACCCCTATAATGCTCTGTTTAGGGGATCCTTCGGGGTACTGCAAAGACCCCTATAATACTCTGTTTAGGGGATCCTTAGGGGCAATGCAAAGACCCCTATAATACTCAAAGACCCCTACAATACTCTGTTTAGGGGATCCTTATGGGCACTGCAAAGATCCTATAATACTCTGTTTAGGGGATCCTTAGGGGCACTGAAGATTTCTGGTTAAGGGAATGCTATAGCCATTGAGGAATCCTAAAATAAACTGTTCTTGGAGGATACTGAGTGGCAATGAAGATCCCTAATATACTCAATAATGTTTAGGAGACCCTAACGGGGCCCTGAAGAACTTAAATTTTTAACAGTTTTTAGGGTTTTTTTAGTTGCACTGAAGACCCCTAAAATACTCTGTTTAGGGGACCCTGCCGGGGGCCTGAAGAACATTAATTTTTTAATGTTTTTAGGGTTTTCTTAGTAGCACTGAAGACTAAAAATACTCTGTTTAGGGGATCCTGCCGGGGCTCTGAAGAAAGTCCAGGCGTTGTTAAAAATCTACCCTGATTCCCCTAGAGCCCTAAACTCCTTAGCTAGGATTTATCGTATTTTATACAACAAGCTTAGGAATTCAACATATTCAGAATTTTTTTTTAATATTTTGTTTTTTAATTATTTATCATTCATGCTCGTAATGGCCATTTTTTATTTTCGTATTCTCGACTGCAGTTATACTTTATGTAAAAGTTTATATTTTGTAATTTGAAAAAATGTTATGTTGAATATGCGTCTGTAACAATACTGCCGATAAAGTGCAGATACAGTCTTGAAAGTTATATAGATAGAGAATAGAATATATAGAGAGGAATTAAAAGAATCTCTCGGTATGAATTTTTTCAGTCCCTTTCAGCCTGAAAGGGAGTTCAAAGTGTACAAATCATGTAAATGCTTACAAATTATATGCAGTAGAGTACATTAATACAGTATGTTTCCTAGACTATTCATTTCAATTTCGAAATTTTTAAAGCTGTTAAATAAACTTTATAATGGATTAGGTGAATAAAAACATCATTTGATTTATAGTTATAACGGAAAATCATCGTTTGTAAAGTGGAAGGCATAGAGTCTATGTGAAATGAATATTGGTCAATTATGAAACCAGCCTATTTCATAATTTGGTTTTCTTTTAACAATAATTTTAGATTTTCTATAAAATGATATTCCAGGGCCCAACAGGTTATATAGCATAAATATGTGAAGTACACCTGCAGTATGGAAACAGTACAACAAAATGGCCGTTTTACACTTTTTTCTATTAAATTCCTCTCTATATATTCTATTCTCTATGGTTATATAGTTAGTTTTTAAATTCAATTAAGATATTTTTGCGTGATTTTTGAAAAGTATATGTTGTTAATAGTAAAGAGAACAAGGAGATTGGAAGGATTGAATATTTAAACAAACTCAAGGATATTGTTATCAAGATTGTCAAAATGCCAAGGTATTTATTGTAGTTCAATAGTTTTCCGCATGTTTTTAATGTCTCTGTAGTGTGTATTTATACTGACAGTACAGTACACTGTGCAGAGACATGGTTAAAGACAAGGTACTAATGCAAGGAAAGTTATTTCAGAGGTGTACGCATCTTTTGTTCTGCAGTGTACTGTCTCTGGGTGGTAATGTAGGATCAAGACCGATGTCTAAGCCTGACATGGGATCCATCTTTCACATAAAAAATCAATGAAATATTGTGGTCATAGAAAACTATTATGTGAATTATCAAAATTATCAAATTTAATGCTTTTAACCTCCTAGGATACTAGACGAAAACTGATACATCTATTCTTGTTTACAAATTCCGCCCAGAGAGATCTGGTTTCAAAATGTACGCATAGTATACGCAACTGCAATTAACTTTCCTTGCATTACAACCTTAGTTAAAGATAAATAGCAAAAACTTCTATTGCACATCAGTTACAGTATTGCCAACTATTCAAAGCAAAGAGCCACTTATTAATTTTTTCAAGTTATTAAATTATAATTACATAATTATTTAGATAGCTTCTTGGGATTTAAGTAAAAATCTTTATTTTTTCCTTAATCATATTATTATCATTTCATAATATTACTACACAGGAGACATTGATACAATACTTGGTTTTCTCCTTGTAATTGTAGCTTTTTAACATTACTGAAACAGAAGCAATTTATTTTACATGTAAAAAATGCATAACGAAACATTGATATCAGATTTCGCAGATTTCTCTGTACTGGGTGAATTTCCAAACAAAATTTGCATTAAAATCATTTTATATCACTTTAATTTACTTTGACCGGTCTTTAACCTTCCAGTGTCTTGTGTGAGTTGCCACAAAAAGTTGGGCCTGATCTGATATCTTTCAACAATTTTGATGTTTTCTTTTTATTACAAAGTTACAAAAACTGTTTCTATTATGCAAATATTGAAACCTGTCTTGTTTATAAAACTTTTGTGTTATAAAGGTAAAATTTTAAATATTTATTTCTATTTCTTGAGTTCGAATGAATCGCATACATTATTTATAAATGTTGTTTTTTGTGTCTATGAAGCTAAAAGCATTAATTTTGATAATTGCTCTTCTGTCTACAGACAGATATTCAGGAGCCATTGATATTTTTCATCTTTTTCATAATATTAAGTACGACATTTCAATCTTTTTGATTATAAAGGGGCCATTCATGTTTTGTACAGTGACTTATTAATCAAACAAATTCACAACGCTCGAATCCTAATCTGAGCAACAATGAGGAAGATATCGTGGTTTTTCCACAAACTCAAATTTTCTAATATTGCTTTATCTTTGCATCCTTATAGTGTAAACCTTTGACATTTCAAACTTAGAATATTTGATCTAACAGAATTTATAGTTTGAAATATTAAAGGGCTAAAACATAGGGTTCCAAATATATAAAGGGTTATTTGGGGCAAAACTTAGTTTCTTTACTTTTTTTTCTCGCCATAAATCGCCAACTGTCACTTTCATTGATAATCTATATTCAAAATTTATACTGTTATAATTCTTAGATAGAAAATCAAGAATATCTTAATTTTTTTTCTACGCTTCCTATTGAGTAGACAGTCTCTTTAATATTTTGTATTTTAGTTCTAAGCTTCCTATTGAGTAGACAGTCCCTTTAATATTTTGTATTTTAGTTCTAAGCTTCCTATTGAGCAGACAGTCCCTTTAATATTTTGTATTTTAGTTCTAAGCTTCCTATTGAGTAGATAGTCCCTTTAATATTTTGTATTTTAGTTCTAAGCTTCCTATAGAGCTTTTTAAATCCGTGGCAGATTTCGGGGTAGCGAACTCTCAAGCACTGGGAGAAAGGGACTGGACAATAATGCTCGTGGAAGAATTAGGTAGCAACAAGAAATATTTAAATTTGGAGCTTTGCATCTTAATAATTCCTCCAGGTTCCATTTGATATTAGAGTGATAACAGAAAGTTTAAAATAAAATAATTTTGTTATTTTGATTAAGCAACAAAAATAAGCTTATAGACATGTCTGAAAAAATGTCTATCTTTGTAGTACTGCAAGAGAAAGGAATTGAGTCTTTGCCACGAACTTTGATTTTCTAATCCCTATATCTTTGGATTCCAACGTCGTAAACCTTTGACATTTCAAACTATGACTTCTGTTAGATCAAATAAAATAAGTTTGAAATATCAAAGGTTTACGGCATTGGGTTCGAAAGATATAGGGATTATAAAATCAGAGTTTGTGGCAAAGACTCAATTCCTTTGAACAGCTTCGTTGTCAGTTAATGTGTTTGTTTACATTTTTGTGTGGAAGGAACATATAACACTGCAGTTCACAGAAAACTTTATAGTATTAATTTTTGCTGGCTATAGTTTTCCTAAAAAATACACTATAAATTTATTATAACAATAATCCAAAACAAAACTGATTAAATTATTATAAAATGTTTAAATGTATCATGTTTAAAATTAATTGATCATTCTTATCAAGATGTCTCTTAACTTTAAATTAAACTTGCACAGGTCTCCTTTTTCAAATTTTTCGATTAGTTCGCACAATATTGAGTTAAGAATTTTGAATATAAATGATGTCTCAGAATTGATATACATATATCATAAAAATATATAATTTTTGTTGTTGAAAGTTTTTGGTCCTCGAAACCCTGAACTAGATGCTGAAGATAAAGAGTTCTACTTTCAAACTTTACTAGACGAGAAGTTTTGCAGGTATAATTGGAGCAATTATATATTTTAGGCTGACAGGGCTTTTTAACACATTTTTTATTGCTGATCCTTGTTTCAGTTGCAGATTTTCCAAAAAATGTTGATATTTAACAATAAATTGGAAACAATCTTACAAGAATTTGATATATTATGTACCCAAACCCAGACCGTGTAAATTAACACAAGACATTTTGGCCTGATTGGTTCAGCCGTATTGACATTTATTGGATAAAAACCAAAAGACAAGCCAAATACATACATACTAGCCTTAAAGGGCGCTTCGCGCCCATCTTCTAATTTAATTGTGAACATGTTCTCTTTGTGTACATCGTAAAACAAAACAAAAATAATTCGCGGATTTTCACAAAAAAATTCGTGGATTTTCAAAATTTTCAAAAATTTAATGAAGATCGAATTTTGATGGAGAAAAATATTTGAAATTTTGATCATTCATAAACCTTCCCTGTGGTCACGTGATGTCCCACAAAAAATTTGGGCCCGATCGGTTCAGCCGTTTTGACGTTTATTGGATACAAACAAACAAACAGACAGACAAGCCAAATTTATATATAAATAGATTTCTTGACTGTACAGATTTTATTCATTTTTTTAAATTCTTGGTTTGTTTTTTTACCATTTTCTTATTTTTTAAACCTCCAAACCCGCCTGTTCAGTTTAAACATTTTCCGAATGCAAGAACCAATTCTTGTTCTCACTTCTTTAGTTCTCCCAGATTCAAGAAATATTACAATCTAAAGTTTTCAGACTTTTTCTCCAATCACAAACATTTGTTACAAGTTTATACAGGCAAAAGTAATTTTATTCTCTCAATATGGATTTCATTAAATAAATCTTTTTGTTTCGGGAGTTTTCTTTTCTAACTTTAGCCTTCAAGAATTAAATCACAATGATTAGCTACTTTTTAAGAATACAGTTAAAGGGACTATAAGCGTAGTTTCAAGTGACCCTCCATGCAAAGATGGCAATGCCCGATTCACAACCGTACCCTAATAACCTTGTCTGATAAAGTATAAATTAGATATTAATGTGTATAATTTTGAAAACTGATTATTTTTGTAAAGTTTCCTAACAAAACTGACTTGCGTATTTCTGCTGGAGGAAAACATATAAAAAATATTAGAATTAAACCCTTTCGAACCTTATAAACGACAATATGGTCAAGAGTACTCTAATCAGATATTAGTTTCAAGAGCACTATTATGAATGTGAGATTGAATCAGATATTGTTTTCAAGAGCACTATTATGAATGTGGAATTGAATCAGATATTGGTTTCAAGAGCACTATTGTGAATGTGAGATTGAATCAGATATTGGTTTCAAGAGCACTATTGTGAATGTGGGATTGAATCAGATATTGGTTTCAAGAGCACTATTATGAAAGTGGGATTGAATCAGATATTAGTTTCAAGAGCACTATTATGAATGTGGGATTGAATCAGATATTAGTTTCAAGAGCACTATTATGAATTTGGGATTGAATTAGATATTGGTTTCAAGAGCAATATTGTGAATGTGAGATTGAATCAGATATTGGTTTCAAGAGCACTATTGTGAATGTGAGATTGAATCAGATATTAGTTTCAAGAGCACTATTGTGAATGTGAGATTGAATCAGATATTAGTTTCAAGAGCACTATTATGAATGTGGGATTGAATCAGATATTAGTTTCAAGAGCACTATTATGAATTAGGGATTGAATTAGATATTGGTTTCAAGAGCACTATTGTGAATGTGAGATTGAATTAGATATTGGTTTCAAGAGCACTATTATGAATGTGAGATTGAATCAGATATTGGTTTCAAGAGCAATATTATGAATGTGGGATTGAATCAGATATTAGTTTCAAGAGCACTATTGTGAATTTGGGATTGACTTAAATTATGCATTCAGTCCCTTTAAAACGGTAAATTTATAAAATGATAACAATTGTTATATAATTAGATTAAATAGAATTTTTCCTATGATACTCAAGAAATCAATCCTGCGTCAGGAGGGGTTTTTCATTTTTGTCAAGATATCAATTAGATATGTTTTATTTATTTTATTTAAATTTTTTTATTTATTTTATATTTTTTAGTGGCGACATATCAGCAGTGAAGCAGTTAATCATTGATATAACTAAGAATGGAACAACACCTAGGGAAAAAAATCTAAAATTAAAAACAATAATTTCTCCTGTTTTGAGAACTTTTATCTTTTTTTCAATCTTAACTCCTCTAGGTTATAAACCCAAGAGGGAGAAAAGCAAACTTGTTTTAAATCCATTATTTCTCGCCAAATGCCACTCAGAAGAGGGGAAGGTGTTCATACATCTTTTAAATAAATAATGAAATAAATAATTTACCATTTTTCATTTAAATACATATTTGTCTAAACCTTATCCCTATTTGGCTATTTTTGTCTATAATAGTAGGGGGAGGGGGGATTTTACCCTTAGAGTTGAGATAGGGGAGTGTGATACATTTCAAGGCCTGCTCTTTAACAAAGATTAGACCTCTAACTTTATTCTTTGATGAGGATTTGAAAAAAAGTTCTAAAAGTATGTCGAAAATTTTTAAAAATGGTTATTTTTAAATTAGACAAATATTAACTTGTGACACATTCATTTTTGTCCGAGAACCATGTTAGCAGAAACCCTATAATTTTGTTCATAATAAAGCATTTCGAAATTATAAAAATTTTCTTCGATATTATGAACATTTTGTTCGACATTATGAACATTTTGTTCGACATTATGAACATTTTGTTAAAAATTATGAGCATTTTGTTCGATAATATAAACATTTTGTTCAATATTATGAATATTTTGTTCGATATTATAACCATTTCGTTCGATATTATGAACATTTTTTTCGATATTATGAACATTTTGTTCTATATCATGAACATTTTGTTCGAGATTATGAACATTTTGTTCGATATTATGAACATTTTGTTTTATATTATGAACATTTTGTTTACTATTCTGAAATATTTTCGATATTGGGAACATTTTGTTCGATATTATGAAAAATTTGTTAGAAATTTTAGATAATTGTTCAATATTATGAACGTTTTGTTCGATATTAAAAACATTTTGTTCGATATTAAGAACATTTTGTTTGATATTATGAACATTTTGTTCGATATTATGAACAGAATTGTAATATCAAATTTTTGTTAGTGATTTCGTACAAAGTTTTCTTAATTTCTAAAGTTTTGTGGTAAGTACGATATTATGAAGAAAATGTAAGGAGAATGTATGAGTCCGAAGTATGAATTATATTTTTGATTTATTTTCTCCTGTGCTAGTATGTCTATGAGGTTCCTTATGGGAATAATAACCAGGAAAGAACTTTACACGTTCAATCTATTCAATTTTTCTAGCACGTACAGGGATCTCCAGAAAATACCGGAATGATTTTCTTTAATTCTTCTAAATATGAAATATTGCAAAGGAATTTTTGACTAGTTCATTTAAAAAAATTTGCCATGAACATTTTTGAAAGCAGCAGAATTATTCATGAAAAGGATATATAAGAGAACAATAATTATTCCTTAATTTTCTAGATACTACTGTACATTACACAGATAGGCAAATATAGGTCGTAATCCAATAAGTGCAGGCTTGTTTGTTCACCATAAGCTTTTCATTGTAATGCAATTTTAGTCCGAACTTTGTAACCTGTGGTTAAAATTTTTGTTTTTAAATCATTAAAATGTATTTTATTAATTATTATCAGCATAGCTTCGATCATAATTTCTGTATCATACATTCATAATACTTTAAGTTTTCTAGATTAACCCTATTCCTGCTGGGGGGGGGGGGTCAATTTGACCCCTCCCCCTGTAGTTTTTTTAGCATAACTCAAAAAGTATCGGTCTGAGGCTTTTGAAATTTTCTGACTTTTCCTACATACCCAAAGCAAATTTTTTGCAAACAACCTGTCAAAGGTAATTTGCACATTTATAGTTTTTCTTGATTAAAAATCAGGTTATTTAAAAATTTTGCAAAAAGTTTTGCATATTTGAAATGGCATGGTCAAGGGCTTTTCAAAAATGTATAATTTTTAAATTTTTTGAACAAATTTCTTTTTGCAAACATTTTTACTATATAACTGGATTTTGCGATAAAAAATTCCATTTTTGCAAATTTGCAATTTTTTTGCAGATTCTAAAAGTAGAGCACAAGAGCTTTCTAATGATGTATCATTTGTTATATTTGGACATCAAACATGGGATTTAGAGGGGGGGGGGGAAATTGACCCCCCCCCCCCAGCATATCCTGGTTTTCAAGTACCCCAGCAGAGATAGGGTTAAATAACTCTTGAATGATAAATATTTAAAGTTAGTGTAAACTTACTTCTAGGATTGAGGAGAAGAATTCTGATCTACCATTCAAGTAAACTTTTATATTTAACATTCAGGGCGCTTCGTGGCCTTTTATGTTGCCCGAATTCCTTTATCTTTGCAACTTGATGTTATAGAACTTTAATATTCCAAACTTTGACTATTTGATGTAATAGAATTAATAGTATGAAATATCTAAGGTCTACAACATCAGATTGTAAAGATTTTCGCGTTATAAAATCAAAGTTCATGGCAAACCTTCAGTTCCTTTTCTCGGGATTGCACAAAAGCTAAAAAAAAGCCTGGAAAAAGATATATTTAAATTGAAATTTATCAACGATTTGCAATTCTTCCTAGAAAAAAAGATGATGTTTTTATTTTACTGCATACTATACACTGTACAACATATCTATAATGTACAGCATATAATAGACTGTAAAGCATATCTATATAGTAATGCATATTATACACTGTAAACCATGTCTGTAATGTACTGTATATAATAGACTATATAAAAAATCTGTATTTTAATGCATATTATACACTGTACAACATCTATACTGTACTGCATATGATTGACTGTATAGCATATCTGTATAGAAATGCATATTATACACTGTAAACCATATATATAATGTACTGCATATAATAGACTGTATAGCATAGCTATATAGTAATGCATATTATACACTTTAAACCATATCTGTAATGTACTGTATATAATAGACTGTATAACATATCTGTATAGTAATGCATATTTATACACTTTACAACATATCTGTAATGTACTGCATATAATAGACTATATAACATATCTGTAATGTACTGCATATAATAGACTGTATAACATATCTGTAATGTACTGCATATATCAGACTGTAAATCATATCTGCATAGTAATGCATATTCGACACTGTACAATATATCTGTAATGTACTGCATATAATAGACTGTATAACATATCTGTAATGTACTGAATATATTAGACCGTAATGTATGCTCTAATGTACAACATATCTGTATTGTACTTAATATTATAGACCTTACAATAAATATTTTGTGTACTGTATATCTCTAATCTATATAAAATCAACAAGACCTTCGTATATATGTTTCCTATAGGCGGCCAAACGGCTGGAACGAATGGGCTGAAATTTGTTTAGCCTGGGTAGCCTGGGGGTGACATAGGCTAAAAAAAATTTTTTTATTTTTTATTTTTCACCTTTGGCAATGCCGGGCGCTTCAGCTAGTTTACAATATAACTCTTGTTTTGAACATTAATCTAATATGTACTGCATATTGTAGACCGTACAATGAAGCAGTAGTGGATCAAACTAAACCAACTGACCAGGAGGAGAGGGATGAATTGTACCTTTACTCACAGGAATACTTCAAAATTAAAATACTTATCAATCATTGCAAAATAATTGAAGCTTATTGTTACAATTAAAAGTTGAAGAAATGTTAACGCCTGGACTGACATGAATAAGTCTACAAAGTATCGGGAAAAATGTATTTACAGCATTATTAACATTCGATACTACACTTATCAGAATCAAGAAGGAGCTTTCAATCTTCCCTTTCTTCTGCCTCATACGGGCAATCAACTGAGGAAGTTGGAACATTCGACTTAGACCGTAAAAAAGTCAAATTAATATCAAACAAATCATTCAGATATTACAACCTATAGTCATCGATTATCTTTCGCCACATTTGTATATATTTGATATTTCATACTAGTTTTGATTTTGTTTTTTAAAATAATATTTAGCTTACAACTTGTTTTCGAACATTCCGGGAAAATATGAAAATGTCGTCTTCATTACCAAAAATCCTCGAAACAGGAATAAATGTTTTTATAAGTAACTCTCAGATCATAACAATTAAAACATATTATGAAAAATCAACTATATATAAATGTGGCGAAAGATAATCGATGACTGTTATTCGGTATGAGACGTCTTTAACAATTTTCTCCTTATAGACGCAACAGATAGAAGTAAGATTAGTAGCGATCAAAAGTGCTTTTTTATCGCATTAAGCCTATACCCCCTTTCATTTTTCGCGAACACTCCCTTTAAATAGAATATGAGGTCAACGTCGTATGGGCTTTTTAACGAGTTCAACGCGTGATCTCTAATTTGGGAGATTCCAACCGACAAAATATCTTGAATACAAACTATACACGAGGCGGTTCATTATCAGTCCTACTGCTACACAAAGATTGATAGACTACAGACATATTTACACGAAAGCTTCTCCATGCATACATTACTCACTATACAGTTCGTTCTACATTCTAACACCTTTAATTTTCCTAAAAAATCTGGTGATTATAAAAATAATAAACCACACTTTTTTTTGTAATGCCTAAATACAATTATAAACACATTTTTGCACAGAAACATGTTTTTATTTTATTTATGAAATCAATATATCATTTTCTTAAAATCCATTTAATAATTTTCTATGTATTTTTAAAAATCTTAGAAAGAGAATTTATTTTAAGTATTTTTTCCTCAGGATTTGGAAAAGGAACTCAGGTCAATATTTTGTTGCAATATTAAAAATTTAGTTTTAAGGTTTATGACAATGCCATTGTACGCTATTTTAATTGTGACCCTTGGCCAGCTTTAAAGGGGCTGTAAGCGTAATTTCAAGTGACCCTTAGCCAGCTTTAAAGGGGCTGTAAGCGTAATTTCAAGTGACCCTTCATGCAAAGTTTGCAATACCCGATGTACAATTCATTCGTTAAAAGCGTTGCCAGACCGAGAATGAATTAGATATCAATATTTATAATTTTGAAAACTGGTTATTTTCAATTGTGGGTTCTCTACTAAAGTAACTTGCATATTTCTATCGTAGGAAAACATAGTGGAAGTATCCGAATGAAACCTTGTAAAACGAAAATATATAGAATTTATATTATTGATCAGATAGAGGTTTCTTGGATACCGATACAATATATATAATTTATATTATTGATCAGATAGAGGTTTCTTGGGCACTGATACAATATATATATAATCTATATTATTGATCAGATAGAGGTTTCTTGGGCACCGATACAATATATAGAATTTATATTATTGATCAGATAGAGGTTTCTTGGATACCGATACAATATATAATTTATATTATTGATTAGATAGAGGTTTCTTGGGTACCGATACAATATATATAATCCATATTACTGGTCAGATAGAGGTTTCTTGGGTACCGTTACAATATATATAATTTATATTATTGGTCAGATAGAGGTTTCTTGGGTACCATTACAATATATATAATTTATATTATTGATCAGATAGAGGTTTCTTGGGTACCGATACAATATATATAATTTATATTATTGATCAGATAGAGGTTTCTTGGGTACCGATACAATATATATAATTTATATTATTGATCAGATAGAGGTTTNGATAGAACACTGAATGTATTCTTTTCAAGAAGGGGTTTTTCTTTCACAAATCCTCGAGGCAGAAGCCCAAAAGAGTTACGCACATGCTCTCTCTTTTTCTTGTAATTTAAAATGTCCGTATATCTCAGACTTGATATATCGAGTCCTGTGAATCGTTTCTCGCACTCTTAAACTGAAATGCCATAAAAACTATATTGCCAATCTCTTATAGAGTGTAAGATTGAAATTTATAGGTATTCTTTGTCTGATTAAGATTATTGCTCTAAATTAAAAAAATCTTTACATTAATTATGCTTGAATAGAGACCAACTTAAACCAGGAGTTCAACCAGAAATGATCAACTAGTTTAACTAGCTCAGCTGTATTCATAAATTTTCATCTGTGGAATCAATGGAAAAGACAAATGTGTATTTCTATTCGGTTGAAAATTATTTTATGAATTTTTTCATTAGACACACTTAAAACAATTGTAGTTCGAACAAGTATGGTTTAAAGGGAGTGACCGGCTATGTAAGGCAATTGAACTGAGTATGCAGTGTTGTCGAAAACTTCTTTAGGATTCATTTAAGACATATAAAACTTTTTAAAGATCTGTAAATCCTGAGTTTGAGCGCAAATTCGACGTTCAAAACTCCTGATTTGGGGTTGGATACGCTTTCAGAATTAGTTTTTTTTTTAAATTATTAAATAACGACAACGAAAAATAAAGTAAAAATTATACAGTAATCTAATTAGATGGCTAGGAACATATTTCACAAAATAAATTTGTCAATAAATCAATGCTAAAATCGATTATTTCGTATTATATTGAATTTCTAATTTTCTTTGAATTTATTCGCAGATTTCTTCAAATTCTTTAAATGTCGTCTTTTCAATAATAATTATAGACAATCTGCGAACATCTTTGTGAATAACGAGAAACTAGAATAATGAGATAATAGAAACTAATAATTGAACAAGATTACTTATTTTCGATGATAAGATTAATTTTTATTTTCTCAAAATGTTCTTAAACATGACTTCTGTAGTTTATTGAAGAATATTTTTACATTTTATGTCGTCGTTAATTAAAAATTTAAAAAAAACTAATTCTGAAAGCGTATCCACCCCCAAATCAGGAGTTTTGAACGTCGAATTTGCGCTCAAACTCAGGATTTACAGACTTTTAAAAAGTGAAATATGTCTAATGAATCCTAAAGAAGTTTTCCACAACACTGCGTCCTCAGTTCAATTACCTTACATAGCCGGTCACTCCCTTTAATAAGGATAAAAGTGGAGTTTGTAATTAAGTTAGTTTATCCTTTATTTTATTTATAAAATTTTTACCAATAAAAAGAACACCTTAAGCTGAAAATATCTGATTATGTACATTACGATCTTTGATAAATGTAAATATTTTTCTTACCTGAATTTGATTTAATTTTTGATTTTGAAATTAATTTTGTAGTGTCAAGTTCCTTGCCTTGGCTCACATAAGTTTTGCTAAAACAAATAAACTGAGACAGTTTAATTACTGCCAACTCTACTGGGAGAAATAAAAACCTTACTTTATGCCAGTCAGATTTTATATAAAGAAGAAAAACACTAAATTTAAACTACAGGATGCTGCTCACATCATATTGTATCGTTTATTGCTCTTAATTTTCGGGACTAATTAGACAATTTTAAAAGAATGAAAAATTTAAAAAGATTTTATAAGGCTAATATAAAAGTTTGCATGCAGAATGTAAATACTAGGTTTTTTCGAAAATATATATATGTGTATATTTTGGCGTTAAAGAATCAGAAGAGACCCGAAATTAATTTATAACTAATTACAACTTTACAATTTAATTTTACAAATATGATTAATGAAACGATATTAACAAAATAGCCCAATCCTGCCTATTCCAAAATGTGGTCTGCCTTTATTGTGGGTTTAAAATTACCAGCGAAATATATGCACTACAATGTCGTCTGATTAACTGTCAATTGATTCCAGGTCTTTCTGGTTATGACTGTAGAAATTTATAGCGTGAAATTTTTTTTTACATATTTCATTGTGTTGTAGGAGGGAGGAGAAGGTTGAGATGATAAATCTTATTCATGATTTTCTGGTCGAGCTATCTTTCTACCCATCCAGGTATCTTTTATGTTGAAAGGTATTGCAGGCGTAATCTTTAAGTGACCCTCCATTTAACCCCTCGTTCGAGCAAAAATTACTAAGATTTTTTTGTCTTTCAATCTGAAAAATGTTAATTTTAAATCGTGGTTTCTCTTTTAATAAGTTATTTGTGAATTTCTGTAGTTATAGAGACAAAGTTTTCAAGGGACAAAGACAATATCTTCCCCAACCTTCATTGTCTAGCTTTCCTAACATTAGGCAATGATGTAAATCGAACATAAAAGGGAAACTACATCAACAATCAATTGTTCAGATTCAGATACGAATACATTTAAAACAGAACAGTCAAAACTTTGAAATTAATTTGACATTTCGAAATGGGCAGCATTTATTATCGTAGGATGTCAAAAATATCGTTTTTAAAACTGTTGAAGGTTGAGACCTGAGATTTCATTAAAGTGAACAAAACTGTCAAAAGTATTTTTTCTCATTCTTTTAAGATATTTAAAATATTGATTGTCATTCCCAACAGTAATAAAAAACCTTAATTTTAATAACATGCTGATAAAAAAACTTTTATGACAAATGGAAAAGGGAAAGTAGTGAAAATTTAAATTCTTTAAAAGAAATATGTCAAAATTAATCTCAATCCTAAAAGTTTTCCATGTTCCACTTTTTGGCAAACTATGAGAATATCGGAAAATATGAAAATAGTTCGAGCAAAGTTAGATAAATTGCTGTGTTTTGCAGTTAGAGGGGGAAGAAGAGGGGAGAAGGGTGGATAATGGAAGGGGGAAAAAGTTTTCAAAAATGATCCAAAACGGCTAACAACACTATTTGTGGGACACGCTGTATTGTATACCCTTAAGAAAACAACCGTAGTGTATTATATAATGCTTTCTTGTGTTTGTTATATTATTAATTTACTTGATGAAGACAAACATAGCTGTCTGATTTTATTAGAATAAGGCAGAAAGCCTATTTGCTCCCCTTGTGTATGGACCAGTTCAATAAATGCATATATATGATTATGAAGCAGGAACATCATGGGTTTAGCTCAAGTGTCCGGCATTGCTCGTAATATATTTATTTTTTTACATTTTTTTATCCTTTAAGTTTTTTGCCAATTTTGTCCAGCCGTCAATGAAATGCTTTGCTATACAGAAAAAAATATTTCGAATATTGAAAAAAAAATATTCAGAATTTTGAACAAAACAATCAAATTGTTTTACCCTATATTACTCCAAGGGTACCAGTCTAGAGACGACTTGTAGGTTGTCTTTGAACTTGCTTAGCCATGTAAGGACAAAGTGTACAAAAAAAGGTTGCTGCAAGGCAGAAAGTCGTCTCTCAACTGTTTATCAATTCTCTATAAAAATACTATAAATGTATCTGGATGTGTAAATTGTACATTATAATGTACACTGTACAGTGTACATGTCAATTACTATACATGTAATCATATACTGTTCAAGGTATCAGAGACCTATCACTAATATGAATGGTTTATCAGCTAAACCTATTTGGACCCTTGAGGAAACAGAATACGAGGTTTATTAATATTATTATTATTATTATTATTATTATTATTATTATTATTATTACTAAAAATATTAAAATTTAAAATTCGGTGATTATTATTATTATTATTATCATATTATTATTATTATTATTATTGCTATTATTATTATTATTATTATTAT